TACTTGCATTAATTTTGTAATTTATATTTCCCTATAAATTTAAACAATATTAACTTAGATATACATAACTTCTAGATTCCACCAATATGTTGACTCAGCCAAATAATACACCAATTCTGGCCCATGGCCAACGTTATCTAAGCCAAACTATGATCTTGGCCTAAAGTGAAATTACTTTCTTTATGCTAAGTAATTGCTAAGATTCTATTAACATGTACATATTTTCATATGTTTTTCACCTATATAATTAATTCCATATTTACATACTATGGAAAAGAGAATCCAATAGCTTCAATGACTTGCCAAAGGTCATACAGCTAAGGATCTAAGCTATTTGGATCTCAAATTCCAGGTTTTATCTTGTTATATCAGTGGTCCCCAATTGTTTTGGCAACAGGGGCCAGTTTCATGGAAGACAGTTTTTCCATGGATTGGGGGTAGAGGATGGTTTTGCAATGATTCGATGACATTAAATTTATTATGCATTTTATTTCTATTATAATTACATTGTTATATATAATGAAATAATTATACAACTCTTCATAATGCTGAATCAGTAGAAATCCTGGGCTTATTTTTGTCCAAGTAGATGGTTCCATCCAAGGGTCATGGAAGACAGGGACATCTAAAGTGTGTTGCTTATGTCCAGTCTACTTTGTAATCTCATTTTGGTTGCTTTCACTGCAGAAAATCCTGTTTCACAGATAGGATGTTGGAAATGAAAGCAGGCTTTATAGTGCTTTTGTGGCACTCTCAGGATACTCTATTTTAACTTTAATCCAGAATATATGGAGATTTAAAGTTGTCTCGATCATCTTTTTGCCTTTTTTTTTTTGGTACTGGGGATTGAACTCAGGACCTCATGCTTGCCAGGCAGACACTGTGCCACTGAGCTACATCCCCAACCCACAACCATACTTTTAAGTCCACCATCATTTGCAATCTCAAGCAGTTAATCTTTTAGCATGGACAAAGTTGATTCATCTGGGTTATTCACAAATACAGCATGGATCCAGTTTTTCCCAGCACAGGGGGCTTTTGTGGTTGGGAGGTAATGCTCAAATTCTTTTGAGAGCTGAGATAGATGATCATGTACCAATTGAGAGAAACAAGGCCCTGACTCAGTCTTTTTCAAAATAGCTATTGAAGTTTAAAACATGTCAAAAATCCCAGTGTTCTTTCATTGTGCCCGTGATTCCAGTTTGGCTTTGAATGCAACCACTTTATCTGCCAACTTGAAGATAGTTGTCATTCTCCCCTGAAATGGCAAGTTGAGTTTGTTGAGCAAGTTGAATATGTCACATGAGTAAGCTAATTTTCGGACCTATTCTGTGTCACTGAAATTTGCTGTCATTGGTTACCGTTTTTCTAAAAGTAACCCCTGGAGTGGCTCTCAACTCAAAAACTCTGGCCAATGACGCACCCTTAGAAAGCCATCTCATTTCTGTGTATAAGAGAAGATGCATGGGCTCTGCATTTATCTTCTCACAGAGCTACGTGAACAAATATGAGTTAAGAGCATGCACTTTAATGTAGTTAATAATTATAATCAAGTCCTGCAAAGTATTTCAACAATTTATCTCCTTATGGTGCTAGCCAAAAGTGGAACATGTGCCACCTTTAGAACTGTAGCCTCTCCTAAAAGTTCATAACAAATGTCATTAGCGGCAGGCAGGATCATTTTTTTTAACCAATAGTAAAATTTTCTTGGCTTTATCAATGTGGTTAGCCACAAAGAATTATTCCCCAGTGCAGATACATTTGATGAAGTTGTTGCTTTCAATAGTTGCTTTTGTTCTTTGTGTTCATCTTTTTTTTTTTTTTCTTTTGAAAAACTCCACAGGCTTGTATTTTAGTGCAGGGTGCTTGGTCTCCATGTAGTGTAGCAATTTTGAAGATTTCAGGGCTTTGTTGGATAGCCAGCCGCCACATCTATACAAAACAGGCTTAGAATATGAACCACCTGGTGCCATGAATCTCCCATTTAAGTATGATTCCTGGTATTTTTCTTTCAAATGCAGCTTTCTTTTTCTTCATAGTCTTAGAGTCTTCTGCTATCTCATCATCGGATCTTTCCCATTTTCAAAGAAGTTCTCCCGTGACATTTAGTTTGTACTCACTTTGGCTAGGGTTAGTTTGTGGATTTATCGAAACTGTGACTGAGACAAATGCACAGTGTGTGAAAGACACACAGATGGAAGTGGTAAATAAAATAATAGGCAGGCCAAATGTGGCCTAAAACAAGTATCAGATTCTGACTTAAAGGCTGCCACCAGATGCAGCTGTACAACTAAAGTACATTAACTACTGTAAAGTCACTACCAAGTGCAGCTTAATTTTCACTTGCCACTCGCTGATAGGGTTTTGATGCGAGTCTGCAGGCAGTTGATTTATTTTGGTCTTTGCACAGTCAAACCTTTCTGCTAATGTGAATCTGTATTTGCAGCAGCTCCCCAGGACTAGCATCTCTGTCTTAGCACCATCTAAGATTCTCATGGAGTGTGCAACCTAGATCTCTCATATGCACAGTTCACAGTAGGGTTTACAGTCCTGTGAGGATCTAATGCCATGGGTGGTCTGAGCGTAGGTAGTGCTCAAGTGGTAATGTGAGTGATTGGAAGTGGCTATAAATGGAAATGAAGCTTGCTCACTGCTCACCTCCTGCTATGCAGCCTGGTACAGCTATGGTTTGAGGGTTGCAGTTCTCTGTATTATATTGCAGGTGCTATACAGCAAATATTTTTCTATATTCTTCCAGCTACCCAACACACAGCCATGGATAAGCATGGATGGGTTATACAGCCCCTCACACCACACAGTAAAATTTTCTTCTCTGGTTGCCAAAGTGCCATTTATTCTTTGCCATCTCTGATGCTCTCTCCTCTTCTTCCTTCTTAGCTAAATCCTGCCAAGGATTTTGTGAAAGCACTAAGTAGCTCTTTTGCATGAGATCCAAGAAGACTTAGCCCTGTGAGCTGGCTTCTGTTTTAAGCAAAATACTCTGCTCCTTAAGAGTATTTTAATTCTTATGGTCAAGGATTTCTTGCTAAAAAAAGAAGCAAAGTAGACCTAACTAAAAGGTCTTATAATTTTAGGCTACTAAAATGAAAGAAATAGAAAAAAGAACCAAAATATAATGTGGAACCAATGAACAGAAACCGTTGTTCACTTAGTCTTGAAATATTGCCTCTGAAAGTGGTAGGACCATTGTACATCTATGTCTGTGCTTTTTAAAAAATATATGCTTGCAGTATAATTATTCATGGTCTTGAGTATTTCATTCTCTGGAATACAGGCAAAGCTTGGATCTTGCTTTTACTCAATGGAATATGGCAAAGGTTAGGTGATGGTTAGATCCAGGACTGAATTATTTTATGTAAGAATCTATTTGGGGAGGTTGGAGGAGAGATTCTCCTGCTGGCCCTGGAGGAATTTGGGTTGGCCTCTAAGAGCTGAGGGTGGTCCCTGGTTGGCTGACAAGAAAAACAGGGACTTCAGTCCTAAACCAAGGAACTTAATCCTGTCAACAGCCACAGGAGTTTGGGTGAGGTCTCTGAGCACCAAAGAGGAGTGCAGCCCGCAGAGTCTCTAAGCAGAACCTAGGTAGGCCATGCTTGGACCCTGGTATAGAAACTGAGATACAGAAGTATTTACAATAAATCTCTACTTACAAACATTCGAGTTGTGAAATTTCACCAATATGAAAGGACTGTGCATTTGGTGTGTTTTAAAAAAAATCCTTTACATTGTATAGTTGTGTCAAAGGTGTATAAGACTCACTTTGTCAGACTCATGAACAAATCTAACTTACAAACTTTCTGCTCGGACAGAACTTACTCATAAATCGGGGATTTACTGTATTGTTGTAAGTCACTGAGTTAGTGGTACTTTGTTATGCATGAGAAATGAATATAATACATAATACAGTGCAGGAGGTCCAGGGAAGAACACAACTCTGAAACATAGGAAACTTGGATACATTCCTCATGTTCCAGTGAACTTGCTACGGGGCATTAAGCAAGTCACAAAACCTTTGGAGGCACTGGCAACCTGATATATGAAAGGAGAGCTTCTTTAAGATCTCTTTAAGTCTTGATCCTGGGAAATAGACATTATTCTCTAATTTTCCAAAAAATTTAAAGTCCATTAAAATCAGCATCCTCAGATTTTGATTGAAGAAAGCAGAAGTCTAAGGATCAGTTCAGAAAGATGCTTATGAAAAACTGTAATCATGATTACCTGCTAGAAATTTCATTGTAAAACTGAGAAGCAAGATGTAACTAAGATGAAGAAAAGAAGAAATGACAATTGTACATTCAGGAACACTTTTAGGAACATATTGGGTGGATCCTGCCCTTATTTCTGGAGCATTACACAATGTAGGAAAACAGCAAACTCTTGGCATCTCAGGAGAGGACTCTGTGCACTCCCCAGGTAAAGCCTCTACGTCCGTCAGAAGCAGCACCTTCACATCATGGGCAGGAGATGATGGTGCAGCTGATTCACCTGCATGGGACACTCTCACTCTGCCATAAACAAGGACAGGGAATGGCCACGGAATCAACAACTGCTTTATTGTATTTTGTGACTATTGTGAAGCATCATATTTCCTATTTAGTGTAAGTAATGAGCCATGGTGAAGCAGAGCCCCATGCTGCGCAGGGTAAATGGTATATTCCCTCCTGACCCTACAGGGTGCTGTAAACAAAGGAGACTTCGGCTATAAATAGGACCTGGGTCAGGAAACGTTTTATGCAATTATTAATAATCAATGCACTATACACACAGTGAAAGGTGAGGATCTGATAATTATCATCCAGTTAGGCAAGCCAAGGAAATCCAGAGGAAATAAAGAAATGACTTCGTTCGCTTTAGGCAGCAGTTAAGGTGACCAGCTGAAAGATATATTATTAATTTACTTTTCCCCCTTTGCATTGATTTAGCTCCACGGTTGACACGGGCACTGGGCTTACCCCAGGAGTCATTCCTTGGAGCACAGGAGTTAGCAGTCATTTGCAAACTCACCACGGACCGGAGGAAATCCTGGAAGACACAGCAGCCAAGGCCAGTCATTACAACCTGTGGCAGCTCCCCTGCTTGGGCTCTCCCTCTGCCTTGTGGGTTCCCTCCCTCTCAGTCCTCCTGGACGGCCTGGCTGGCTGATGCTTTCCAGCACCTGTCACCCTGGATTTTGGCAGAATGAAGTGAGGAGACAGCTGGAGTCATTATAGTTCATCTGTTTGAAGACTGCCCAAATGAAAAACAAACAAACAAATCTGGTGAGTTTCATGATTCTTTTAAGTGTACAGAAATGCAGCTGCTAAGTTGTGTAGGAGATCAAAGGAGCCTTTTCAATTCAGGACACCAAAGTGTTCTTCCTGCCTTGATCCCGGATGGAGATTTGTTAGCAAACTTTAGAAGGAAGTTGTGGAAGAGCATTAGGTCTATTAAACTGGTCAAAATTGTGAGAAGTTCTTTGTAAAGCTCATTAGATGTCCTCCTTGCTGATCTCTGTGGAGAATGTGACAGTGTAGTGTGTCCTGAGGTTTTATTCTGGGTGACAGGAATCAAGGGCATAGTTAAAAATCATTTATTTAATACAGTGATAAGGTAATAGGATTGCTTTCCTGTGAATTGTCAATTTCTTGAAGAAGAAAAATATATTCTGCAGCATTAGTAACTTTAGTACTTTGAGTGAAATTTAATCTTAGCTGCTAAGTTTGAAGTTGTCTTTTAAAAATATTAAGCATTATATAGATAAAATGACTGGCACATTATTTTTAATATACATTGCAGTGTTTAAAATAACTTAGGGGGCCGGGGATTTAGCTCAGTGGTTCTGCCGCCGGCCTCGCAAGCGCAAGGACTGGAGTTCGATCCCTGGTACCAAAAACAAACCGAAAAAAGAAAATAACTTGGGCTCCAATAGATTGGGGTAAACAAAAATATGTATTTATTATCTTTGAGTGGTACCTTCGCAGTTATTGGTAATTTTCTATTTGTAAAAGAATGTAAAATTACTTGTCTTGTGCATTGCAATAGGGAGATGAGCTTCAATATTTGAATATTAAAAATTTCCAAACATTAAAACCTTGAACATTAAATTCTTGGAGTTGTAGTTTCAATTTTATTTTGATCCAAATTGGTTACTATGGCGGTTTGTAAGTGGTTTGCACTTTACAGTCATTTTTCTTTAACATGCTTTATATGATTTCTTGATTCATCTCTAATTAGCAGAAATTTTGAAATGCTATATGACTAGAACTAACAGCAAGCATATCCTATAATACATTTTGTTGTTGTTCATAATATTGTATGTCTGATAAAATTGATCTTGGTCATTCTGAGAATTTTTTTTCTGACTTAGTTGCTTTTGGATATTTTTTTTCCTAGCTTAAAAAATAGTTTTCACATGGTATTATTTTAATCCACAAGCTTCTTTGAGAACTGTTTAATACCTAGTTATTTGGTCAAGTCTGAATCATATTTTGACAGCATTGAGGGGCTTAAGAGGTGTAGAGAGAAAATGAGTGTGGAAGAGGCTCTTGAATTAAAAATGTATAAAGGTTAAACATCAAACACAACTGTCATCATCATAATAATTTTAAATCACAGCTGACCATGGATATTGATATTTCCCTCCAATGAATCCTAAATTCCCCCATGTACTTTTTCTTCTGTTGACATGATTTTCATTTTCTTAGCCTCTGGGACTTAGCTCCATAAAAAGGTAGGTCTGAGGACAGGATCCTCAAAGGTAGGTTTCCATTTCAGAGCCTTACCAGACAGCTTGCCAAATTTCACATGAGATGCTGGTTGAGGTACAACCTCTCTCAAGGTAGTAACCCTGTCTCAAGGTGGTCTTGGAAAATTAGTGAGCTAAATCAATGGCTGAGTCTGAAATGGACAGCAGCTCACTGATCGTATTTATCTAGTTGCAAGAGAAACTTGTTTAAAATTATGTTTATGGAATTTCTGGAACCAAAACTTGGAAACAGTCTCTAGTCATTCATCAGAAAAGCCATTTTAATTTTTCCCACCAAAATTTGAAGATTGATTCACTGACCTTTTAATTTGGTGGTGGGCATACAGTTTGACTGTCAGAAAGAAAGTACAATTATCCATCTCTGTAAAATGCTTCTAATTTTATTATACTGGTGTACATTTGTTTTGATTTTCTAATTTATATTTTAAAAATAAAGTCATTTAATTTCTAAAATAAATCCTGTAATATTTGCAACTTAATTTCACTAAATGGGGTTTGTGTTTTATAAGATACATGGGGGTTATAAACTTTATTAAGGTAGTTGCTAGTAAGTTCAGAGCAAAATCTGTTACTTATTGAAAATAATTTTACCAAAAATATGTGCATTGTAGATAAAATATATAGAAAGCATAGAAGTGGTTTTAAAAACTGCTCAATTTCAAGAGACAAACATTAATATCATGGCATATTTATTTGTATGAAATGTATTTTTTTAAAAATTGGAATCATACTGTGTGCATATAATATTCTTTTTTAAACCATAAAACAATTTTTCAAGTACTCATGGTTATTTTTAGTGACTACATAATATAGTGTTCAATAGTCGATAGATTAGCTGTAATTCTTTAGTTGATATTTCAAAGTTCCTTTTTCCTTTTGGTACTGGGGATCAAACTCAGGTCCTTGTTCTTGAAAGGCAGGAGGTGGAACCATTGAGCTAAATCCCCGGCCCAAGTTTCATTTTATATTAAGTGGATATAACAAGGTTTTCTTGGTACAGTATGATTAGGTATTGGAAATATTGGCTCTTCTTTATCACACCAAATCTGGTTGTATTCACTTTCCTAGAATAGACTGTCTCACTATGGAAATGGAAAAAGGGGGCTCTTTAAATGATTTCTACACTTTCATTTTAATTTTAAGGATGCACAGTGGAGACATCTTTTGTTATAGCTAATTACTAAATGTGTTCTACAAAGATTAATTCAAAAGGACTTAATAGACCATTAATACATCAGGGGAACACCTTGTAAAGATTCATCTTTGCAAATCATTTAGGTTCTAAAGTTTAAAATGTTTTTCCTTGCAGGGTATCCTTATACTTGTCTATTTGCAAGGAAATAGAGATATTTGGCTTTATTAAAATTCTCAGGGTACATTTGATAGTACTCCCTCTAATGAATCAATAGTAGTGTCAGCTGAGGACCGTGATTTCATGGAGGTCATAAAATCAGTAGTAGGTGATGGAATTTTAAAAACTAATTGTCAGTATTAGCTTAAAATAGTTTCTGGCTAGCCATCCTTAGTTCAACAATTCTGTTTTAGGAAGACATTTTAAAAGGTGCATTTTTAGGGGCCAGGGTGTAGTTCAGTGGCAGAGTGCTTGCCCAGCGTGCACGAAGCCCTGGTTTTGATGCCCGGCACTACAAAGGAAAGGATGACTTTGTAATATTTCCCAAGTCCAGGGCTGGGGTCAGCCTATTGCCAGGATCTGTGGGAACTCTCACAGGAAAAGTGAGTGTAGGTGATTTATGTATGGGTCAATGTGATTTAGAAATAAAAAGAGAAGCACCCACTTTATTCCTTTTCTAGTGTTTAACTCCTAATTTACAACTTCACGGGCTGTATTGCAAAGGGAACCGGAGTTTCATCCCTTCACCTGGTGCTGCATTTGGGGAAGTCCACTTACTGTCCTGGGTCTCTCCCAGATGTCAGCACCACTCTTTCTCAAAGTGTCAGCGGTGGCAGACAACATAAACAGCAGAGGAGGAGGAGGAGGAAGGAGGGGCCATACCGGTGCACACCCCTCGGTGACATGGTGTGGGCAGGTGCAGGGAGTGCAGGGCACATGGGGTTAAGGGCTTTGATGTACCCCAACTGTTCAGCCAGGGTCCCCTGAGTTAAGGCTGTCCAGCGGATTCTCTGCCCAAAGTGCTCGGGGCAGATGGAGCTGTTAAAAAAGGCATAGCGCTCTTTGAAAGCCCTGTGCGGTCTGCATGTGCCATCGCCTCACACAAAGCACCTGCTTGCTCATGGTGACCTTGTGTTGAGAGCATGAGAAACCCAGTCAGTGTAGGTGGGAGAAATATTTACTGAGGCCAATAGAGCCATTGCATAAATACTGCTAGACCTGAGAAGGTGACATTGGAGCTGAAAGAGTCAGTCTGCCTCCTAGCAGCAGATGAGAGAAGGGGGCAAAGAGTGGGGCCGAAGGATGCTTTTCTTTTTTTCCTTGTATTACTGGGGATCGAACCCAGGCCTTTACACTGAGCTATAGCTCCACACCCATCTTTAAATTTTTTAAAAAAATTTATTTTGAGACAGGGTCTGGCTAAGTTGCTAAATTACCCAGGGTGGACTCAACTAGTGATCTTGCCTTAACTTCCTGCTACCTCCCTGTCTGATGGCAAACACCTGGCAGAACTTTTTAAAAACTGAAATCCAGTGCAGTACCTTTAACGAATAGATGCATTTAAAAATGCTAGAAGGGAGATTATCTGGCTATGTTCTGGGTGGTGAGATTAGGAGATGATGAATTATTTTAATTGTACTTGCCTTTTATTTTAAAAAGCAATCTGAAGATAATATGTTACCAGTCAGACAAAGTTTATCTTTCGGAAAATAAAACCAAATAAAATGAAAGTTTAATATTAATTTATAGAAGATAATTTACTTGGAATCTTTTTTGCCTCTTTTTATTTTTTCAAAATTTGTGAGGCTGTCTTGCATTAGCAGCTCGATTTTCCTTTTGAAGACTCAGTGGCAGCATCTTTTGGAGGGGCACATACAGATTGCTGAGGTGCCTTGGTGAGGGCAGAAGGACTGCTCGGTCACTCGGATGGTCTCCCTTCCCAGAGTAGCAGGACCCAAAGCCACACCTGAAACAACTTGTGATCTCCACAGTACCCTTTCTTGCTCTGGTCAGAGAATGAGAGTGTACCAGGCATCCCAGGTTATGTGATCTGGTGGGCCAGATCCAATTAATGTTTTTAATAGTGTTTTCAAGATGTAACACACCCAGGGAGATTTGTTCCAGATGGATGAAGTACAAAATGAAAACTAAAATAAACCCCCCTCTAAGCACAATATTGTTCTAAATATTTCTTTGAGGCATCAGCAGCTTTTAAATCATTGGAAGACAGACTGAAGGCATTCTCTACATCGTGGTGCCTTTCCCAGTTATTTGAGGTAGATTTGAGTTTCAAAGGCTTTTCTCTGCAGTTCTATTCTCTACCTGTCATTGGGGATCTCACTCATTGTATTAAAAAATGGTATTAGAGGGTCAGAGATTTA